CTATGAAGCGGTATATAAGTCGAACTGCTATTGCTATTGCTATGTCTGAAAGTAGAATTCTTTGAAGTTGGTAACAATAAGAGAAGACTCCCTACTCTGAAGTTTTCTGGAGATGTTTGGTGGTGAGGAGGAGAACCACCACTTAACGCTCGAGTTGCAAAAACTGTGCAAAACTGCACAGCAAGGAATTTGGACCTCTTCTCAATGGTACTCCAGATGCCTCCTGAAAGTTTAAAAAAAACGTTCGCTTATGCGGCCAAAGAATTTTCTGCCTGCTGGGGAGAAAAAAAAGATACGCATTCCTTTAATTTCAGTCTTCTTTATTTATTGATGATGAGCTGGCTGCCTGAATGAACTTCACAGATGAAGAGGCGGTGCAACGGATCTGAATAAATAAAATATACATCATGGCAGCTCCCGATACTTGGCAGCAGGAAGAAGAGTGGTAGCTACAGTCGGTTGAACTTCAGGTAGCAGAAATCACTACGCGTTTTTCTCGCCTGCCTGGAAAAATCTCATATTTCCTACGAGAGGGGGGTGGTGGTGTTATTTACCTGCCTCTGTTGGGTGGCAGGTCGGGGGTTTCTAACGGAGGAAAAATAAAATTCTGCAAAAAAAATAAAACCGGTGCTTACCCACTTTGGCATTTTCCCACCTTCGGGGTCGTGGTGATGATATTGGAGGACAATGACCGTTACCACCACCGAGAGACCCACAATAATCATGGTGCTGGCAAAATACTGAGCTATGGAAGGAAACAAGAAATCATTTTTTTAAATTAAAAAATAGAGGCCATACGGGGTGGGTTTCAATTTATTTTACTACCGGTTCACTCATGCTCATGCGATGCTTCTGTGCATGTGCAGAAGCATCTGGGAGGGTGGGCGGAGCCTCCTACCACCACCACTACCGGTTCACCCAATCCAGGGCAAACCGGCAGAAACCTACCTCTGATGCTATAAGACTGATTAGGTTTAGGTTGAGGTTTATTCAATTTATATGCCGCCCTTCTCCCAAGGACTCAGGGCGGCGTACGACATTAAAAGAAACACATAATACAAAAGTTAAGAAGAAATTAAACAGGATATCCCAAACCCAATTAAAATTGACAATGACACATTT